CACATCTTCTGAAAAATACAAGGTAGCTGATTGCATATTTGTGTCCTGAGCCATGGAAATCTCCTTTATAGAGAGCAATGCTGAATTTGAAGCCTACTGGGAGGAAGCAGTGAAGGAAGAAGGGAGTTGAGGATGGAAAGGACTTCAGTGCAAGAGGCAGAAGCATGGGAGGTGCAAGACACGATTCTTAGGGAGTGAGAGTGAAGTGGAATCACAAATATAGCTCTGACACAAGAACAATTTGTTTTACAAAGAAAGAAAGGACATTTTATGGAGAGATTGTACTGTTTCAGACTTTGATTTGTATAGAAGAGACAGTGATATCTGGCCAGTGGTTTCCAATTACAGTCTCTTGGCAGCGCTTGCTAGTTCTAGCTAGTTCTAATTCTAGCTACGGATATTCTTAAGGAAGCTTGGTGGCTTTAGGGGCCTGTTTTGGAGGAAATAAATTATAACGCAGCTCAATTTTTAGCAAAAGTTTTTGACAGGGACTAAAACAGATCGGTTTTTTGTGTTGTTGTTTTTTTAAATCTAAAGTAAATAATGTAGGAAAGAAAAAACACAGCTATTGGAAAGGAGACACAATTCACATTATTTGCAGAAAATGTGATTCTGTACTTCTGTACCATTGGCACTATTAAGAATTCAATTTGCTGTTCATATAGATAATAATTATCACAATTCAATGGCTTTTGTATGTATTAGCAATAAAATGAGAGACAATTATATGAAAAAGTGTTGCAACTGAAAATATAAAACAATGAAAAGCTCATTACAGTTTATAAAATAAAACTTAAATACATGGAACAATGTGTGTAAATTTCTTAAAAATTTAATTAGATGTCTCATTTAATTTCAATCTAAATTTCATCTGGAAATACAAAGAAGTGAACAATTAAAAATTTAAGAGGAATGGTGAGAGCAGTTTCCTATCCAGATAGTGAAATGAATTATAATATGACAGCAATTTAAAACAGTATGGTCCTGGCACACAGCTGATTGAAAGATCAGGGGAACTAGCAGGACTCCTGGACGATCCCCAAGCCCAGTGGTTTGCAGTTCGTTTCGGAGACCCTGAAAATGCCCAGAAGTTCCTTCAGCCTTTAGAGAAAGCGTGGGGCCTCTGAGCTCTCTCACCTCCGCTTCAGCAGCAACGGCTCTGCTTTTGTGCCCTTTCTATAATGGGTTCCCACGTTTATACATTGGTTTCACGTTCAGAAGGGTTTTCATCGCCCTCATATTAATGGTGGTAGAAGGATGCCTCACTAATTTTGACGGCTTATGAAACAAATGATGTTGGGGAACCTTGACTTATTTGTAGGAGGCAGGAGGCTTAAGTTAGCCCGTCATCTTGGTACAAGAAGATAAATTCCAGATGAATTTAAAAATAAAAACATGATACTTGAAAGAAATATTTGTAGATATTTGAATAGTGTCTGGATAAAAGGAATTTCTAAACATAAGAGCAGCAGGTGTCGTAATGAAAAAATCTGATAGAATTGTTAGTATGAAAATGGCAAGCTTTGCATATCACCCTAAAATATCCAAAAATAAGCAGCAAAAAGACTAGATGTTACTAACATGCAAAACAATGAATGTTACTCTCTAAAGAGCTTTTTACACATTAATTAGAAAAACAGAAATATCTCGTGTCATATCGTACCTCATATGATATTCATTTGAAAAAATCTTTATCCTCATTAGTATTTACAGAAGTATAATAAAAATAACAAGGAATAACCACTTACTTGACCTACTAAGATAATGTTTAATACTTTATGTTAGTTGTGATGAAGGAGGTACATTCAGTTCTGCTTGGTGAGAGTATAAATTGTTAAAATCTTTCTGCAAACAATTGGCAGTGTGTCAAGAGACATAACAGAACTCACATTCTTTGACTCAATAATACTCTAAAATGTTACATTCAATATATTCTTTGGACATTTTTGTTTATTAATTGAATTTTTAAAACAATGTAAATAATGCCTCCTCTCAGTAAAGTGTTAATTATGGTGCCCTTTTGAAGAATTCAGATTACATGGAGAAAAGTAAGACAGCTAAGAGTATATACATGTGTTTTACATTATTATTATATTAAAATAATATGTGCGTGTAGAAAAACTAGAGAGAAAACAAATATTAGCAGTGGTTAATATTCTTGGTTGTAGGCTTGTGGGTGCATTTTGCTTTTAATAGCATGGGTATGAGTTTGCATTTTTCTAATTTTTATTATCAGAAAGCAAGATTATTTTAAATAATTACCCATGGCAAACTTTAAGATTGGATCCCCTATTTTGTTGCAATGACATCATTATTGCCCAAGGCAGCCTGAACCTGTTTTGATGATCTGAAATGTTTACTGTTCCTCTTTCTGGAAAAATCTTACTGTGATCCTCTTAAAAATCCTACTCCCTTCCTACTTTATTGAATCCTTGACCCCCTTTTCTAAAGAAGTAGGTACAAGGTGGGAAACAATTGTAAGAACACGTTAAATTCAAATAAGTATTAATTGACCGTGAAAACATATTCAAATACTAGTATTTGAAAATGTCATGAAGGATAACCCAGAAAGTACCCTTTTGCAGCAGGACGCGTGAAACTGGAACTCCTCAGTGTCAGGAGATTGTTGGGGCAGATCTAATGGTGGGGCCTGGTCGCTTAGAGCGCCATGGCGCCCCCGCTGTGGCTCCCTCTCCCCGTCGTGTTTGCGTGTGGCTGCCTGTGAGTCTGATCCATGTCTCCGCCATGTGTCCCCGTATTTTGATGGCATCAATGTATTGTTCTGTGAGATAATCCCCCCCTATCTTTTGTCCTGTTAATGTTCACACAGCCAGTGCAGTGAAGTTTGCTCACACCCAGGAACCCCTCCTCCTCTGTCTCCTTTCTCTGTCTTGCAAGAACTGAGGGTGGCTTCTGGTGTTTTGTGGGGCTCCACCATTTCCTCCCTGCCTCTCATCCACTTCATATGATGTAATTCTTGGCACTTTTACTTCCTTTGTAGAGTAGGATGTGATGTCATAGAGAAGGGGACAGGGCTATCCAAATTCTCTCAATTGCTGGGAGGAGCTGCCCAGGTGTGCTGAGGGGCCTGTACTCAGGAAGAGAAACAGGGAGTCCTCCACAGTGAGTAACCCCACTTTCGAGTGCCCCCAAATTTCCGTTAAAACGTTGCCCAGTACACTGGAGTTTTCCTCTTCGGCCCTTTCTAGTTTTAATCAGTTTGCCTTTTGGACATTCCCAGTTCAGCTCAATTTTCCTCCTCGCTCACCTTTCCCCGCTCAGCCCTTCTCTGTGCCCTCCTGTGCCTCTCCCCGCAGCCCCTCTTCCTTGCTTGCTCACTTGTGTATGTCTGTGTCTGTTGACTGCCCACACCGTTTATGAGAGCCCGTTAGTGCCCTCAGCATTGCCTGTCGTTTGGGGCGATGCCTACCCTGATCTGGTCCCTGTGACCACAGCGTCTCCTCTCAGTAACCCATGAGTATGCANCTGCCCACACCGTTTATGAGAGCCTGTTAGTGCCCTCAGCATTGCCTGTCGTTTGGGGCGATGCCTACCCTGATCTGGTCCCTGTGACCACAGCGTCTCCTCTCAGTAACCCATGAGTATGCACTGCTCTGCTTACGGCTCTTATTTTAGAAACTCTCAGCTTTTTTGTTTTCATGTGTATTTCTTTCCCTCCCTTTGTTGTGATCTGATCTTTCACCCTTTTCAGGTCCATTATGCAGTTTCCTTCTTGCCTTTTTTAACCAACGTTTTAATACATTAGCCCTCTTCCCGACCCAGCTATGCCTACGTTTCTTTCCCCCCCTTTCCCAGTTTTCAGTTCAGCTCTCAGTGTCCTCCTCGTCAGGACATGTATTTCTTCTTTCCTGATGACTTACTTGCTGCCATACCTTCTTTCTAGTGGAGTTCATATTTCTATATTGATTAAAGAACTGAACCAGCTACGACTAAGGGACTGATCCAGACTGGGAAAACTGGGGAAATTTCTGGGGAAGTGCAAAGGGGAGACCAGGAAAGCGGCCCTAATGGTGAGGCGGGTCTCCCTGTAGGCAACTCACTGGAGGACCCGAAACGACTTAGTGGAAATTTGGCCATTGAGCGTAGGAGAGGTCACAGAGCTATTCTGAGCAGATTTGGAAGCCTTTTCAATTTTTAATTTTCAGAGTGGCCCTGTTATTAATAATTACAATCCTTCTAGTAAGTCCTCACAAATGAGAACTCTAGAATCTCTAAGTTGCTTGGGGCCATGACTTGTGCAGAAGCTTCTGTACAGGACCTTTAATTAGGTGGTGTCTACCCTTGGAAGACGTCATTGTGAAGATGTGTGCAGACCCGTTTCTTGTACCTAGAGGTGGTCCCTGTAATCCACGCTGGTGAGCAGTGGTCCCTGCTGTCTCCTGCTTTCAATACATGTAGTGAGGTCCCTGGCTAAACCAAAGAACTTGATTTTCAGAGAGGATGGTCTAATGCCTGTGGAAATAACTGCGTCCCATGTATTCCCCACACTTTGTTTAAAGGAACCCCCTTCTACTCAAAAATAAGTAGGACAGAGAGGGAGAGAAAAAAATGGGACTCAGTTTATAAAGCTGAGATGGGCTGAATGGGAAGAGGCAGGGGTTTTCCTAAAAGTAATTGGAAAAGGCAAAGAAAGGAAACTGAGCTGAACTGGAAAACACATTGTAATGAGGTACTTGGGTTTCTGTATGATTCTTTCCATTTGGGTCATGAAGGACTTTTTTTCCCCTCTCATTTTCTTTTAATATAAAAGAAGTTGATCAAAATGTGAATCCGGTGAGGTTATTTCTGACCAGCACTTTGTTCTCTACGGTTGGTGGTGTTCAGGCTTCATGCTTCCAAGGCCCTGGAAATCTAGGAAAAATTTTAGCCTGAAACGTTGTCTTTAACCCTAAAATACTAGCAATTTTTAATAAATGAAATTATATACATTTATTAACTTGGTTTTTTAAAGATTCACTTTTGTTTTGGTGTTATGCCCTTGTATTTTTTTTTTTTTTTTTTGAGAATGGCCCCTATTTGTTGCAGAAATTGCCATAAAAGTCCAGGAAAAAAATTACGTTCTCATTTTGGACACTTGAGTTGTGTGATGGGACCTTATCTTGATATAACAGCCCCTTTCCCTTTAAAATTTTAAGGAAACACTGCATGATTCATACATGTTTTCATTTTATATGCTTCCATGCAATAATCTATGAATCATGTTTATTTTTATTTTTCAGGCACTAGAAAAACACCCCAACTCACCAATGACAGCAAAGCAGATATTGGAAGTCATTCAGAAAGAAGGGTTAAAAGAAACAAGGTCAGTATTTATATTTACATTTCCTGTTTTTATTGATTAATAATGGCCACTAGTAATGGCAAAGAAATAGATGTATCTACCTTTTGATACTTTAATTGATTGTGAATTAAGTAACTACCTGCAAATATTTCTGTGACTGCCAAATATTTGGGTGACCAAATATTTCCTTGGAACTGCCTGTTGACTTAATAAATTGTACTGGATGAGTTAATATCGAGCATACTTTGTTAATAAAATGCAGCACTGTGTGAATTATCCCCCTATTGGAATCACTCCTCTTTCTCTTTCTTGTAAGAGGGGATTATGTTTCTGAAAGTGAATAGTGAAAGAGAAACACTTTTCAGGCTTGATAGATAGATCCCAGGATATAAAGATGAGTCCACTCTCATAAAATTCAAAGTGCCAATGAATGTGGTTGAAACTTTAGTCCTCTTATATTTAGAACTCCTATACTCAGAGCATCATTAGTTAGATTTATTTAAAAATAGAATTGAGATATGATTTATACAGCATAAAATTCACCATTTTAACTGTACAAGTCAGTGGTTTTTAGTATATTTACAAATTTGTGCAATTATCACAACTTTCTAATTTTAGGACATATTCATCGCCCTAAAATGAAACCCTGATACCCACCAGCCGTTATTCACCATTCCCTTCTCCCCCAGCCCTTGGTAACCACTAATCTATTTTTTATGTCTATGGGTTTGCCTATTCTGTGTACTTCATGTATATGGAATTATACAATATGTAGCCTTTTGTGGTAGGTTTCTTTCACTTAGCACTTTTTTTAAAAGTCCATCCATGTTGTGGCATGAAGTACTCCATTCCTTTTTGTTGCCAAATAATGTTCCATTATATGGATATACCTCATTTTGGTTTACCTATGATGATTCTTTATTTTCATGTATTCATTAATTTTACAGTTTTGGCTTTAACTAGCAGTTTAGGACCATAGAGATGATATTACTCAAGGAGAAAAAAGAAGTTTGTTAGAGGGTAAAAGTAACCACAGACTTGCCATACATGTGTATGTAATAATCTGTGTTCCGTAGAGTGCATTTTTTTTTGTATTAAGGCTGTCTGTCTGCAAGCCACTGAGCATACAGTGGTTGTAACTTGGCGAAAATTAAACCTGCTGAGCTACCTTTTGAATGTTTTGACTGATACTGAGATAGAAGTGCTGAGAGGAATAAATATCCTCCCAAGGCCAACTTTTCCTAAAACATCGGTATCACCTACAACTCCTGTAACTGTAAAGTGTGGGCAACACCAGCCTGTAGGTGTTTAAAATGCATCTATTGGAAGTGCGCTCCATGAGCGTCACAATGTGGTGCGGTGCAGGACACCGAGGCTCCGAATTCCGTCTTTCCTAGAGGCTTTTCCTGCCTGCTCTGAAGAAAGAGCCTGAGAACACGTAACCGCACTGTTTGCAGTAATTGTTCCCCCACAAATCAGAGGCAGCGGTGGGGGGGCTGCCGCCGGCCTGCAGCTCTGTTAGAGGAGGCCCTGGTCTTCTGCGCGAGGTGTCGGCGCGAGGGGTCAGACAGGAAACTGGGGACACCTGGAAATTCATTTTCTCCTCGCTGCCTGTCAGAAACCTTGAAAATATTTATGCCATTTAGAAAGCACTGAAAATGTTTGTGCTACAGCCAAAAGAAAAGAGGGGGTAAAAAACTCTAAGGATTTTGACTCCTGTCGAATGTGGGCTCTGTGCCAGAGGAAGCTGCCAACGTGGACATAAACAGCATGTCCTGTAAGCAGACCTTTGAACTTTGTTCATCATGTTATTTTTCTGCACCGGAGTGACTATGCTGCTATCAGTTATGTATATTGAGGTATAAAATTCTTGTACCATGGCTCTGAACAGCATTCTAATTACATTTATCATTATAACAGCATTATTTCATATTTTTCAAAATGCTGGTTTCCTAGAATTTTATATTAAAGAGTCTTAAGCATATATATTTATAGTGAAAACAAAAAACAAAACAGCTTTTTTAAGGAGTAAAGAACAATGAAATTGAAAATATCACCTCCTATACTTCTGCCCCACCCCCAATATTGTGACCTTCTGTAAAGAGAAAAAAATTTGTTGTTGCAGATACTGATAAATCAGGGCAGTGATATTGAAAGCACCTGCCAAGGCTTCACAAGCTGAGCTGGGGAAGAAAGAGATGGCAGTTCTACTTAAGTTCTATTCTGTAAATCAGTTTTACATGGAAGGGCCTCAGATTATGCATTTTATGTTCTCATTTCTCAGTCTGTTTAAATCCCCTCCCTCCTGTCAGTGGGGACTGTTACTTATGACTGGTTGACCTTGACCACTCTCCTTCCCTTGTTTTCTAGTTCTAGTTTGCCTCTTAGAATCATCTCTAAATAAAACTATATAGATCTTGAGTGAGTTTTGGGGCTTTTCTACATGGTATGCATGTTTTAGCAGATTCTAACATTTATTTTGCCTACTTAATGTACGATTTGCTACCTTCCATGTTTTTAAATGTTTTCGAAATATTTAAAGTAGCAGAGTAAAGGAAGTGTAACTATCTATTTTTCTTAAGTAGAGTTACATTTACTTCATCATCATAAGGTCAGACACAGCTGTTTACTTTCTAGATATTTATTAATTATGTGTTTTTCAAGAAATGCAGGGTTGTGATATGCCTGGAAAAATGCAGGGGAGTGACTGAAAGTTAATAATGTGACCATAACCCTCTGGTTGTCTCCTCTGTGGCTGAGAGGTCATGTAAGCAGTTCTCCCCCAAGTAGTCCACCTCTGTACCTAGCATCCTAGAAAAGAGAAGATTGGGTTTGGAATTCACCATCATTCCAAATCTGGCTTTAAAGTAATGCCATTTGTTTTAGATATCCTGGGGGTCTTTGATTTGTGTGCCAGGTGGAGCTCCTGTATCTCTACCTCACCGTCCCAGGTAGAGCTCCTGTAGCACCTGCCTCTCTGCACCAGGTAGAGCTCCTACAGCATTTAGCTCACTGCACTAGGTGGAGCTCCTGGAGCATCTGCCTCTCTGCACCAGGTAGAGCTCCTATAGCATTTAGCTCACTGCACTAGGTGGAGCTCCTGGAGCATCTGCCTCACTGCACCAGGTAGAGCTCCTATAGCATTTAGCTCACTGCACCAGGTGGAGCTCCTGGAGCATCTCCCTCAGTGCACCAGGTGGAGCTCCTGGAGCAGTTACCTCTCTGCACTGCAGTTTTGTCGTCGTCTGTCTGCCCATGGGTCTGTGAGCTCTTTAAGGGTAGGTACCCACCACTCCTGGCTCTCAAGAGATACTCAATAATTATTTGTTGAGTAAATAATCTTCTGTCTCAGGATGTTAATTGCTGGTGCCTAGTGATGCCTTTGGCTTGCATTTAGAGTTAGAAGCTGCTTGCATTTCTCACCCTTTTCAGTAGTTTGTTTTAATCAAAAGGAATCTAACAGTTTTGTGGGAATCCCATTAAACAGACGCATGCTGATAATCTCCAGCAGATCATCTATGAGCAAGTAAGGTTATTATACTGATGCTTGTTTTCAAACACTGTAAGTGCTGCTGGTTTAAACTTGTAACATATAATAAAAAAGTACACCAACAGTTTTGGCAAAGCTGATGTGAATATTTGAATGTGTTCAGCGCACGTGATATTGCTAATTTATTTGACTGAGATGAAATTTGTGACAGCTTATGCCATCCTTTTTCTTCTCCAGTGACACTTTAAATTACATACTTTTCATGTAGATATGATAAAAAGAGTACATCTCTTCTATATCATGTTCTGTGTATCTTCATGTTATTGATGAAATGTGTAGTGTATGATTAAATACTATTGGAAAAGCCAGACTGAAATAAGTACTTTCCATGTGGTTTTAAAAGGTAGATGAATATAATAAGCTGTCAGAAGGACAAATGATTTTTATTGAAAAAAATTAATAGGACTGATTTTTTAGAATTGGTTTTTTGATGAAAATATATTTTGGCAAGTTTTAATTTCCTTCTATATAATAGCATAGAATATTTTGTTAATACAGTTTTATTCTGGTCCATCTATACACTTGCTCTTACTGATTCTGAGTGGTTATTTTCAGGCTTCTGTTATATTGTGTTTATGAGTTGCCAACAATTGATAAAACATTGCAGTATGAATGCTTTTCAGATGATCAGAATCCTATACTCTGTCAAGTACCAATGTTGCTTGTATAGAGGGGTTAAAAATGTGCATATTCCAGTCTGTAGCTTTTGTGGATGGGTATCTAATATGCCTGCTCAGACTCTTGGCTAAACATTCCCACTTCCTTATGCAGTTTGTGTGCCACTGTAGAATATGGTCTTGTCTGTAGTAATTAAAATTATCTTTAGAAAAAGAGGAGTAACTCCAGTTACCATGTTGGTTTGGCAGACTTTTGGAGTGGTCTTCTGCTTTTCTGTTTTGGGTTTGCTAATTCAGAAGTGATAATTCCTTTACAAAGAGGACGGAGGGATTTTTGATGCCTGAGAATATATTTTTCTCTGCTCATAAGATTGTTAAAGTGATGCTTCCAAAGAGATGTGAGCTCAGTTATAGTGGCACATCTGGGTCGGGAGGTCAAGGAGTGAGGCTTGTAGCACTTACTAGCAAGAGCAGAACAGCCATTCAACAGTGAGGCATAATTTCTTATGTGTTGGGCATCATCATTACAAGACACCTGTCATTAATGTAGCATGAACTGTGATATGGTTTTCATGTTATTTGCTAATAAGTAAATAGTTCTCAAATAGAGGTGAGGCATTCATAAAATAAAGGCAAAAAAGCTCACACAAAGCAATAAAAAACCACACTTGGATTGGGGTAGCGCAATATTTATGAGCTATATTTTTACAATATTATAGTTGCCTTAATAAAAAGTGTGTGTTAGATTTTATCAACCCTTTATAGAGCAAGAGCCTATAATTACATATCACAGTAGGGACATTTGAAAAGATTTATAAACAATCTCTGTTGGACTCAGAGTATGGACATATTTT